TTTTTTATGGTAAAATCTTTATAGTAATTTTCTTATATTAATTTTTTAATAGATTATTTTTATAATAATTTTTTAAAGTAATTTCTTTAATAACAATTTTTTACAGTAACTTTTTACAGTAAATTCTTATATCAATTTTTTAGTAATTCTTTAATAGGATTTCGTGAAATTATTATTTTAATAGTAATTTTCTACTGATAAATTTTCAATTGTATTCTTTACAACAATTGATTTAGTAATTCCTTTCATAGTAATTGGTAACAGTAATTTTTAAAGAATAATTTTTATAGTAATTTTGTCAGAATCACAGAAAATAAAAAGTGTTATTTTAACACCGAATTTGGTGTTAAAATAACACGCAACAAATTTAACCGTCATAAGTGGCACCACATTCTATGTCGTTTAACATTGGTTAATTTAACACGCAACAAAAAAAAAATTTCTTGTAGTAATTTTTTACAGTAAATTTTCGTATAGTAACTTTTTAATGATATTTCTTAATAGTAATTTTTTAGTATTTTCTTTCATTTTTTTAGTTGTGTCTTTTATAATAATTTGTTACAGTAATTTTTCACAGTTATTATTTATAGTATTTATTTAATAGTAATTGTTTTGTAGTAATTTTTTTCAAAGTAAATTTATTGTAAACATTAAAAAAATTTTAAGCATTGGAAAATTTCTTTCAAAACACCCGAAAATGCATTCTTGCTGGGTGAGAAACATTTGTATACCTTATCCAAACTAATTTATAGGTAAATCGCCAAAAAAAAAACACAAACACCGAGAAAATCTAGACATTTTCTTTTACTTTTTTTTTGAGCACGGCTCTTAACCTGTTCTTAATTGGAGCGTTTATTTTACAAGAGCCCTGTCCGGGTCAAAATCCCTGTGCATTATCTGTGTTCTACAGGCGGGACAAAATGGAATCTATATATATATATATATAAAAGTATGTTTATATATGTATCTATATATATAGATATGTACTATATATACACAAATACTATAGATATATATATACATATGAATGTAGGAACGAACTTCAACTATATGGTGGAATCACGTTGTAGAATATTTTCTAAAATTAAATCTGTTGCACAACATCAAAAGCATTTGCGTGAATGGCAGGCAACGAGGTCCCTCTGAATGTTGAATCTCAAGAGATCTTAATTTCGTTAAAGTACCAGCTTCAAAACCCAATGATGAAGTATACTCCCACCCATTTGGTTTTTGTGTAAAAATAAAGTGTATATATTCACGGTTCGTTGTCAGTGAAACATTTGATCATATGTTACTTTTAGAAAGAGATTTGTAATCTTTATAGTTCAGGAAAACCATACATTTAATACCCCTTTACACATTATCAAACACAGAAGAATTTTAAACATGGTGTTAAATATCCCTTTATTGGTTTTTGCTCACATTTATTAACTTTTAGAATTTTTATTTCTTTTAGAGATTAAGTATTTAGAATTTTTAGAGATCTAAATATTATATAATATTACATATTGTTGTATAATTTTTAGGGTTCTTAATATTATGTAATATTATATATTGTTATAGAAGAAAGGGAGCTGAGAAGCAAAATCTTATAGGTTATGTTTGGTATCTTTTACTGTAACAAACATAACCTATAAGATTTCAAAGATTTAAAATTGTTTACTTCTTAGGTTCCTTTCTTTGCAACGCATCATATTGACAATGTTGTAAATTTAACTGTTTATCAAATTATATTTAAATTAATTCAACTTTTTTGTTATTATTATTATTGTTATTATTATTGTTTAGTCATAAATATAACTTTATCAAATGATATTTAGTCAGTAAAGTTCTCAAATTTTTGTTACAGACAAAAAAAGTTATGATTTTTGGCAAATCATTTATCTTCGAAAGATGGTCATGGTGCGTAAGGCGCAGAGTTGTAACCCACGAATTCGGGTTCAATTCTTCAGAATTGTGAGTAATTTTTTTCACTCTTTATTCTTTTTTACTTAATGTCGTCTGAATAAAAAAAATTCTTTTTAGGATTTGGATATCAAATATTTTCTTAAGATATTGTAAAATACCACCTAACCTCTTAAATTTCGTATTAATAAATAAATTAATTAAATTTCTTAATTTCAACGTTGTTTTTGGTACAAACTAAAAACTAAATTTGCTTGATTTAAGATTTATTTTTAATTACATAATTTAAAAACATTTATTCAACAACTTATAAGAATATTATTATAAAACATGAAGATATCAATCACTCCGAGTCTTTGACTCGGAATGATTGTTATCTTCATGTTTTATGATAATTTGAACCATAAAATTTTTCAACAAAAAAATTTAATTATTTACAAAAATTTTAATATCATCCTTCTCAAGAATTCAATTATTTTTACAAGCAATAAAATTTTTCACATGAATTCAATTATTAAAAAAAATGTAATAAATTTTATTCTAAGAATTTAATTAATTTTCATAAATCATAAAATTTTTCATAGGATTTCAATTATTTTTAATACAATTTTAAATAAATTCCTCACAAAATGCAATAATTTTCTAAAATTTTTTGCAAGAAATCAATGACATTTCAAAAAATAATGAAATTCTTCCCTGAAATTCAAATATTTTAAAAATCTACTATTCCCATAAAATTTCCAATTATTTCCAATTATTTTTCCAATTATTTAAAAAAAACGTAATAAAATGCGTTGCAAGAATTCAAATATTTTTATAAATAATACAATTATTCTTTACAGAATTTAAATTATTTACAAGAATTTTAATAAAATCCTTCATAAGAATTCAATTATTTTTACAAGTAATAAAATTTTTCACATGAATTCAATTATTTTAAAAAATGTACCTAATAAAAAATCTTTATAAGAATTCAATTATTCTTCTAAATAATCAAATTCGTCACAGGATTTCAATTACTTTTAATTCAATTTTAAATAAATTCTTCAAAAAATGTAATTATTTTCAAAAATATCCAAAATTCAATTACTTTTGAAAAGCCATGCTATAATGCTTTTAATATTCAATTATTATGTATAACTGAAATTCATTTTTAAATCAATTTTTTTTTTGGAAAATTCGACAAAATTCAATTATTTAAATACAAAAATAAATAATTCATTGAATAAAGCAATGTTTTTCAAAATTGAATCCTCATAAAGAATTTTATTAACAAATTTTTTAGATAATTGAATTTTTTCGACGAATTTTAATAAAATTTTCAAGAATAATTACATTTTTCGAGGAATTCGATTAAAATTGTATTAATAATAATTGAAATTTTATATTATGAGTTTTATTATTCAGGAAAATAATTGAATATCGGTGAAAAATTTTATTATTTATGAAAATAATTAAATGTTTGCGTGGAATTTTATTAAAATTTTGTTTTAAATAATTGAATTCTTTTGGGAAATTTTATTAAAACAGTAGATATTGAAAATCATCTATGACATCCCTGGAAATGTTAAAATATTTTTAAAATAAAAATCTTGCAGAATTTCCATGGAAACTCCACGAAAATTCCATGAAGAAATTCCATGGAATTTCCAGTGGGTACTTCCATGGAATTTTTCAACTTGGGATAAAAATTGTTTTCGAACTTTTGAAAATTAAAAATGAATCTTAAATCAAGCAAAAACTTATTTCTCAACATAACCTATAATTCTTTGTCGCATAAGGTCCCTTTCACTGGGAAGTGTCACATATTATGTGAATACCACATTTTATCATTTTTTAAATATCGAAATAATTAATTAATTATAGTTATATTAATTAGTTTTTTTAATTAGTCAGTTAAGTGAATCAATTAGTTACATTAATTTATTAGTTGCATTAATTATTTAGTTACATTAATTAGTTCATTAATTAATTTATTAATTTCTACGTTACTTTTGGTTAATATTAAGTACTATTATCTTTATTAATTAACATTTAATCACAATTAATATTTACATTAATTAATTAGTTCATTAATTAATTTATTAATTTCTACGTTACTTTTGGTTAATATTAAGTACTATTATCTTTATTAATTAACATTTAATCACAAAAGTTCAATTATTCTTGTTGACAAGTCGAATAAATTCATCAATTTTGAAAATTATTTATTCATGGAATAGTGGCCGAGGTGCGTAAGGCGCAGAGTTCCAACCAACGAATTCAGGTTCGATTCCTCAGACCGATGATTATTTTTTTCTCTCTCTTTCTCATTCCTCTTGTTTACTTAAAACAGTAAAAACAATAAAGAAAGAATAAAAAATTTAAAATCCAACATAAAGAGATTTAAACTCTAAACATAAATAATTGAAATTATTCCGAAGAATAAAAGAAGAGATGTTTGAATGGAATTTTCCCCCATCATTTATTTACACTTGCACTTGTATCATCTGTATGTTGTAAATATTGATGTTATTTAGCCTTTAAAATCCCCTCGTGTCCCCTTTAAGACTTATCCCATGGACTCGTGTGACCTGTCTATTGAAACTGTCTAAAAAAGAAGACATGTCCGATGAACACTTGAGATTTTCCCTCGGTCGACTCGTCACCCAACCGACCCCAGTTGGGGATTCCACCTGCATCCCCGGACAGCCGGTATGTATAGTTGGAGTGTGTGTGGTGTTCCTTATTTCCAGGCATGCGCTCATCACTGCAACACAAACATAGGGCGACAGGTGCGCGATGTCGTCCGAAACTAAACGAACGTAACGCTCGGCAGTTTTGCGAAGCGAGCTCCACACATCGTTCCCGAATCGAGGCAGTCGTTCGCGGCTTCAACCCTCGTACGGCCGCCGCGTTTTTTGTGTCCCCACCATCATTTTTATTCCTCTCACTCACTCTCTCTCTCTCTCTCTTATTCACACGTTCAAAAAAAAAAAATTCAAATTTTGATCCATGGATCAATAAAAGTGAATAAAAATTTCGCCCACCCCCATCTCTTAAATTAATAATAAAAAAAAGTTCGAACAGGATGAAATTTAATTTTTCGTTTCTGTGATAAAATCTTTAAAAATCAATTTAACGATTTTTTGGTGAAAAAATTTTTTTCTGAAAAGAAAAATAAGTTGTTTTTTGTTTTGCATACAGTTTATAAATATGTTAATTTCTGTGAATGTTATTACCAAAAGGATGAAGAGAGGAGTATGAACCGTGTAAATTGGAGTAATTAGAAAGATTGCGCGCTGTATTTTTTTTTCCTTTTTTTCCGAAATCGATTTCATCAAAAAACGTGTGAAGTGTGTGCGGATCAAACGTGTTTTTTGGAGTAATAAAAAGAAAAAGGTTCAACTTCCTATGTTGATTTAAGGAAAGTGAAGAGCCTTTATATTTGGAAAAGAAAGAAAGTAAAAAGAAAAAAAAAAAGTGCTGCTTTCGATGTAGCGTGACTTCATGTGTAATTGCCGTGTTGCCCGGGGGTTTTCAAATTGGTACGCTTGAAGAGAAAAAGGAAGTGGACCGACCGGAAGAAGACTCCAGGAGAAGGAAGAGATGGCATCTCGTGTACTTGGACTTTTGCTCTTCACACATTTTGTTCTCGCTTCGAGCGTCAAAGGTGAGTTTTTATTTCACAATAGAAAAATGACCCTCTCCCACCCCACCATCTTTCTCTTTAGCTAAATTTAAATTTTAATCTTCCACTTTTGCTGATTTTATAAATTAAAAAAAGAAAAAGAAAAAAATTGAAAGGATACAATTTTCTATTGAAGGGAAATTGTCCTTTTTAATTATGCATTCAAGTTTCCCCCCCCCCCTTTCCCCCTCTTAGCTTTTTCTCCGAATAGATAGACAATGGTCCAGAAGTTTTTGTGCGCGCCTTTTGTGTTCTCATTAAAGAAACTTTTTGAGTTCAATTCACGTCGCGAGAAAAATACCAGTAATTTAAAATGTTGATTTTTTTCTAATGAAATTGTAAATGTTTATCTCAATGAATTTCTCGAACGTTATTTATTGTTTAGATTCGAATTTTATTAAATTGGAATAATGTGTCATTTATTTTTTTTTATGCATTGGGACTTTTGGGAAATCTGCTTACAGATACTTTGGATAAAATTCATTATTGATAAGAAAGAGAATTTAATAAATAATTAAGTGAGAATAATTTAATAATAATTTAATTATCGTTAAATTTGTATATTATTTATAATTTATTTTTATATTTTATATTATTAAATTATATAATTAATTATTATTAAATTTAATATTACGATACATATTAAATTAATAAAATTCAATGAAAATAATGTAATACATTTAAATAAACATTTACTTGAAAGAAATAATCTTTATTAAAATCAAATAAATTTTTTTTGAAAAACCAATAATTTCAGTATTTGAAGTAAACACCGTTTGATTGTCTTGAGAAACAAATATTTGATACAATTTGATTTTTATTTCAAAATTGACAATTAATTGTTTATATATAAATAAAATAAATCTTTTTTCAATTTAATAATAATAGCTTAATAATGATTTAATAATATAATTAAAATTGACGACACTAATTAAAATTAGTGAAAATATCTACTAAGTTAAAAGTGAAATTTAACTAATTTGTTAGGTGAAAAAAATTTATTTAATAAAAAAAACAGTAAATTTAATTTTTTTTAAGTTTTAGTGAAAAATTATTAAGGAATTAGTAGAAATTATTTACAAAGTTGAATTAGTAGTTTTTTTACTAATTAAAATTGTTTAATTTCATTTCTGCTTTTAATTTGTAATTTTTGTCAATATTTATTTAGGAAAATTATTTCTTTGATTTGAATTGTTTCAAAATAAAATTTATTTTATTTATTAAAAACAAGGTGCATTTAATTCTAAATTTTTTTTGCTCAATTTTTTATTATTTATTAGATTTTATACTAATTCAAATTTAGAAAACAAGTTTTTTCGTTTCGTTTTTCTCTTAATTGTAGTCGCTGTAATTTTTGAAAATATTTATAAATGCAATAAGCTTTATTTATTTAAATTGTTCTAAAGTAAAACTTTACTATTTCATTCCGTAAAAAAGTTCCTTTTAGTTATAAATTTTGTACTCAAGTTTCAGTGGAAAATTACAAAAATTATATACATAATAAATAAACAAAAAATATTTAGTAAGAAATTTTTTTACTTTAAATTTGTGAACTTTTTACTATTTTAGTTGAATTTTCTTTCTGCTTTTGGTACGTAATTTTTGAAAGTATTTATATCTGCAGCAAATTTTGTTTTTAAATTACTTTAAACTTTAAAGTAATTTCTTTTCTTTATTTTACTTATTAAAAATAGTTGCATTTAGTTCTAAATTTTTTCACTAAAAGTTTAAGTGAAAAATTACTAAAAAGTTAGTAGAAATTTCTTTAAATTATTCTATATTAGTCGACTTTTTGTTTATTTACTAATTCAAATTTTGAAAACAAGATTTTAATTTCGCTTTTTCTTTTAGTTGTGTTTTTTGAAAAATTGTTAAATGAAATAAATGGCATTCATTTCAATTTAGTTCCAAAATAAAATTTTACTATTTCATTTAATAAAAAAAGTTTCGTTCAGTTTTAGATTTTTTACTTAAGTTTCGTTGGAAAACAAAAAAATTAAATAAATAATAAATAAAAAACGTTCAATGAGGAAATTTTTCACTGTAAATCAGCAGACTTTTTACTATTATAAATAATTATGAAGTAAACGTTTAATTTCGTTTCGAATTTTAGTCAATGTTTTGAAAGTAAATTTTTTTATCTTTATTTCTCCCATTAATCGTCGTATTTTTCAAAACATAATTACGTCGGTAAAAAATTTCATCCATTTGAATATCGTTCGCAGAATATTTGTGCATTATAAATGTTTAATTGCAAGTATATAATTACAAGAAATTACGTAAATTTTTTTCTTTTGGCAAAATTTTTTTTCTTTTTGGCGAAGTAGAAAAAAAATTAGCGAAATATAGAAAATGTGTTGGTGCGAAGAAACAAGATCTGGGGTGATTAAAATATTTCTCACGATTTAAAATAGTATTCTTAACGGGAAAATAATGGTTGCCTTTTTAAAGAAAGGATATTTCCACGGTCTGACGATCACCCACATTCTTTTATATTGCCAGTGGGTGCCAGATGGGCCAATTTAAAAGTCAGGTGTGGCCATCAGACGCGAAAGTTTCTTTAACACGTAACGTCTTATGCGGAATATTAGAAAAATTTTCATGAATTACCCTGAAAATTTAAATCCACAAAATTAATCCCCCTGAAAAAAATAAATGTACAAAAAAACACTGTAATTATTTACTTGAATATTATTAACTATCAAAGTAATTTACCAAATTTATTATTTAAGAAATTATTAATTATATTAAGTTTACTAAATTTATTATCGACAAAATTTTCAAAATTTATTAAAGACTAAATTTATAAAATTAACTATCGACTTAATTGACTAAATTCCAAAAATAAAGCAAAAAAATAATAAGAAAAATATTAAAGTGATTATTTAACTACCGTTAAATAATTTATTCCACTTTTCTCTACTTTGTTGATTAAAATAATTGCAAAATTAAGAGAGCAGAATTCTTTTAAGAAGTGATTTTTAATTACTATATATATTAACACTAGAGTAAATTAAAAGCGGTCTTTAGCTATTCTACTTGAGGGAAAATTCAATTATATTGTTGGAAAAATAAAAGTGTGAAGAGAGGCGCATCTTTTATTATTATTTTGTTTGTGGATAAAAGATTTTAAATCATAAAACTCCAATCCTTTTAATCCGTATTGTGCACCTGGAAAGACAATGAGGACCGTTCCTCCGTAGCCTGAAGGGCCAACTAGAAAAGATATATACACATTCTGAAACTTTAAAGAAAACTTTTAGCATTGTTCAAACTGAAACAAGAAAATAACGTTTGCAAAAAAAAAAAAAAATGGAGAAAACAAAAGAAAACTGTCACATTGGGCAATATAAAGAAATAAGGGTCTATTTTTCTTTTAACCGCATCGCATATATAGCAAAAAAAAAAAAAGAAAAAAAATTCTCTCTCTCGTGAATTGAATAGAAAATTGATAATTATTCTGTACGATAGTTTTTCTTACTTTTCTTCTTATTTATTTTCTTATTTTCGTCTTTTATTTATATATTTACATCGTATGAAAGGATTTAGAAAACAATAAATTTTTAAATGTAGTTAATTTTTTTTTTGCAAAATAGAAATTATAGGAAGAAGAATAATAGAAAATAAAAATGTAATAAAAAAATGATAAATAATAAAAATAATGAAAAGTAGAAACTAATAAAGAATAAAAAATAAAACATAAAACATAGAAAGTGATGAATAATAAAATTAATAAAATTAATAAAATCAATAAAATTAATATAAAATAAAAAGTATTAACAAAATAATAAAAATTGTAAAATAGTAAATAATTGGAAATAGAAAAAAATAATAGCAAACAATTAAGAAAAGAAAATAATAAAAATAATAAAAAATAAACAATGGAAAAAATAATACAAACTAGAAAAAAACACTCGGTGCAATTAGATTGTGTTTCTTTTCCTTTTTTGTAAATTTCGGATAGTTTAAAAGAAAAACAATTTGAATTCTCATTTTCAATGAAGCGAGAAATGGAAAAATGGTTTTTTTTATGTATACCTACGAAATAAAGCTCGATTTAGAGTGAATGAAAGAAACATTGTATTACTTGGGAAGAAATTCTGTCTTATCTTTATAATTATTTTCTCTCTCTCTCTCTCTTCCCTTTAAATAATCTCTTACTCTTTCCCGAAGCGAAAGATTATTATCATTTTGAATTCCATTAAATATTACATTTTCATGTCTCTTTAAATAATAATTCGAGCTTTCGAATTGTACTTTAAACTTCAATTGTTACACTCTCTCTTTCCCTCTCTCTTTCTCTCTGAAGCTATTTTCATGTCCCAAACTAATAATACGTTACATTTCTATAAAGTTAAAATGTATAATATATATATTTTCCTTCTATTTAGTGCTTCAAGCTAGCCAGGACAATTCTCTCCTCTCATTGTCTTTTTGTAGACGAACACAGTGAATATAAATTAAAAGGAATTAAAATGAAAAATAATTTACTTTGAAGTTAATAAAATTATATTTAATCTTTTTTGTATATTATATACATAGAGAAAATTACGAATTTAATAAATTTATTTCTTATTAAATATGTATTTGTGAAACTTTCCATAAATTTATAATAAGGGAAAATTCCTTATAAATTATATATGTATATGATTGACATTTATAACAGAAAATTTTATAAAAATCGTTTCGTTTTATTATTATTATAAATATAGTATGTTTAAAATTCAATTTTATTGATTGGGATAAATTTTGAATGTGACAGTTTTTGAATTTTGATTACTTTGGAAGAATATTTCGTATATAGTAAAATATATATATATATAATATATATATATTGTAATATTGTATATATATATATATATGTATATATAAACACGCAGTGACAGTCGTAAATTTCTCTAACTATGGTTAGAGAAATTTACGATTGTCACTACAGTTATAAGCTGACGGGCGAGGTTTTATTTCGCAACAAATACACGAGA